CTTGACCCCCAACCCCTTAGCACAACTAACACTCGGGTCAGGCCAAGCGTGACTTCTGAGGACAGCACCCAACGGAAGGGGCTCCTGGGTATGGACTGTAACATAGCTTCTCCTGACCACAAAATAAACTGATGTGACGGCATAAAAGGGTTCAGGACACAGAGCCCCTAACCTGGGCGGTAGGTAGTCCCAGCCCTACCCAGTACTTGCCTTATGGCCCTCACTTCTCAGCGGCTGTTTCCAAATTCACTACTATTGAGTCAATCCCAACTTAGAGCTACCGTATGGGACAGGGTAGAACGGCCCCTGTGGGTTTCTGAGACTAACTTTTTACCAGGGTAGAAAGCCTCGTCTTTCTCCTATAAGAGTGACTGGTGGTTTTGAACTGCGGACCTTGTGATTAGCACCTCAAAGCGTAACCACTATGCCTGTACAGTGCGGATAATCGTGAGAGCTGGACTCCACCACACACACGGTCAGCGTTTGACCTGTGTTCTGTTCCACCTAAAGCTCCCAATGCCTTTGCCCGAGCCCGTGTCTCCCAGACAATCCCCGTTCACCTGGACTGTGTCGGCTCCACGTGGCCAGGGAATTTGTCCTGTCTTGTTTCACTGTTAAGTCCTCGGCTTCTAGAATAGGGTCTAGCACATTGTCGCCGGTGCTCAATTCCTATTGTGGCTGACTGGGGCCTCCTAACTGGGCCCTTCCTTGTCCACAAATCTGCAGATGGATGCCTAGAGTGGGTGTCTTGCCCAGCGGATCCTGGTTTAACCAGGATAAACCCTGAGACCATGCAAAGTTCAAAGAGCGGGTAGGGAGATTTGGGGACTGGGATGAAGTGCTTCTTGCGGTCACCCTGCTTCATCCCATGGGAGCGCTGGGCTGGCTGGGACTCACGCCCATTTCCTCGGATTCATTTTTGCTCAGCCGGCTCATTCTGGTGTGGCTAGTTTGGAGATAAAGCAAAGTCGGGGGACCCCAAACCAGCCGGCTAGCCCAGAGGGGATTTCTGGCCCAGGAATTAAAATCATCGCTGGTCCTCTGTTTCCCCACTTGTAAAATGGACACATCACCAACACGCACCTCCCAGGGTTCTGGTAAACCGTAAAATGTAAATGAGATGAACAGCATTTAAAAGATTGGCCGGAAACTTGTCCCCGACCTAAATTCAAAAATCGTCACTGCCATGGTACCTATGCCGACTCAGAGCGACTCTATAGGACAGGGTAGAACTGCCCCTGTGAGTTTCTGAGACTCACTGTTTATGGGAGTAGAAAGCCCCCAAAGAGCAGCTGGTGGTTTTGAACTGCTGACCCTGCAGATTGCAGCCCAATGTGTAACTGCTGTACCACCGAGGCTCCTTTGTGACGTCACTACTCGGCGATTTTAATAGCATCCACGGGCTCCCATTGCCGTCATTTCGCTCCCTTTCTCGGCAGCTCTCCGGTCCTGGTGTTCCTGTACCTTTTGTAAAGACAGTGGCTGATCTCTCTCTGGGCGCGCTGTCCCCACCCTTCCATCGCCCCACTCCTAGATGGCTGACTCCCCGTGGCTGTACGCCCTGCTCCCGTGCTGGACACGCCCCAGGGGGCTCTGCTTGTTCCCTCCTCTGCTGGGGATTCCCAGCCTCTGTCCCCATCCCTGCTCACGGGACTGCAAAGTCTGGTCTACAGTCCCCAACCCTCCGCATGGCTAACAGGACGTCCACCTCGTCACCCCTGGACCCTCTCAACAGCAACGCCTCATGTTCAACCACGAATGCCATTTTGTTCTGTTTTTTTTTTAACTTGCAAGTGTGTGCCGCATCCAGTCTGGTGGCATCGTGATTTATGAGGTTGACTGCTAACCGCAAAGTCAGCAGTTTGAAACCACCAGCCGCTCCGAGGGAGACAAAGGAGGCTTTCTACTCGGGTGAAGAGTTTCAGTCTCAGCAACCCACAGGGGCAGTTCTACCCAGTCCTATAGAGCCGCTGCAAGTTGGAATCGACTCTGTGGCAGTGAGTCCGATTTGGAGTTTGGACGGGGCCGAGCAGAGCTGCCCCGAGGGTCTCCCAAGCTGTCCATCTTTACAGAAGCCACCTTCCCCACCGTTCTCCCTTGGCTGGTGGTTCAGGCAGCCGACCTTCCCATTAACAGCCCAGAGGGTATCTAACCACGGTGCCCCCAGGGGGGCAATCCTAGAGGGCAGGGCATAGAAGCTCTCGGGCCAGTTCACCTGCCCCTGCCCCCGGCCAAAGCCGTGGAGCGTCCTAGGCTGTCATCTTCACGGGAGCAGATCCACGGGTGTTTCTCTGTTGGAGCTGCAGGCTGAGCTCAAACCACTCGCCTTTCAGTGAGCACCGGGGGCTTCCTCAGTGCCACTGGGGCTACTTTTAAAAAGCTCGGTGGCACTGGAGAGAAAAGCGCACCAAAGCAAAGTGCACCCATGAGGATCACACCTCCCATTTCAGGTGGTGATCACAGCCCCTCCCCAAGCCCTCAGCCACCCCTGACCTTGGATACGTCCGCACCCCTCTCACTCCCTGGAGCCTTCTCCACCTGTCTCCCTCTCTCTCCTGCTCTCTCTCTCTAGGAATCTCGTGCCTTTACAGCTGCAAGGAGCTTCAATGCTTTCAGGACCAGTGCTATCAGAGTGGGCTTCTGCACCTCCAGTCCCAAAGCAGACCTGCCCTGGCCCCCTCCCCACTGCACCCCCCCACACTCCCAGCTCAGCACGCCACAGCAAGTCTTTGCGGGCGTGTAAGGGGTCCAGACAGAGTCTAGTGCTGGGCTCTCTCGCCCTGTCCTGGCGTTGATGCCGGCTCACAGGGAGCCTCTAGGACAGGGTAGAACTGTCCCCTGTGGGTTTCTGAGACGGCAACGCTTCCTGGGAGTAGCAAGTCTCATCTTTCTCCGGTGGCGTGGCTGGTGGTCGGGAACTGCTGAGCTTTTCGCTTAGCGGCCTATCCATTACACCACCAGGGCTAAATAAGCCTCTAAGTGGCTTGGTGCCGTAGTGGGTTAGGAGTTGGGCTGCTACCCACAGGTCAGCAGTTCAAAACCACCAGCTGCTCCTTGGGAGAAAGACGAGGCATTCTACTCCCATAAGGACATAAAGAGTTAAGGTCTCGGAAATCCACAAGGG